GAGTACAAATACCGCATGATATTTGTACTCATCTATGGCGTTATTTGTACTCGTCTAGGTGTAGTTGGATAATAAAGGCCTGTAATACATTCTGTAAATAAAACCATACCCTAACAACACCAGTAGATGTTTCCCAGACAAGAAGAGTGCTGTCATCTCCACTGGACACACCTAGTCCCCCTCCAGGGGATATATCTATACATCGAACCTGAAAGGGAAAATTAAGAGAAGACCACCAGGCCAACATAAGTTAACAGAAAATTGTGTTAACAGAAAGTGCAGAGACAAATCACTCTTATCCCTCTGCTGAAGCCAGGTTTGATTCTAGAACCAGTTCAACACGTGAGTCCAGTTTTCTGCTGTTTCTTTTCCTTGCCAAGGGTTTTCTCCATTTTTTCAGTTATTGTCTCTCCACAAAAAGCAACAATTTAAATCACTGAATTCCACTTTAATATGGAAACAGCTATTGAGAAGTCACCTTGTGAATGTGCCAGAAGTAATATTAATTGAATTTATCTAAAATTAATTAATTTTTCATGCCACAATCAAATTTTTGGTGCTAAGAACTTTTCTGTCAGTAATGAGAGAAAACCAAGTCTCTAGCATTGAAAAAAAATCAAGGAACTGACTGTAATGGTGGTATGAAAATATTCAAAGTATGAAAGGCTGATGCACAGAAAAGTTCTGGGTTTACTTTTGAACACTTAAATACTCATGATATAACCAATACAAGGACATAACAATGACTCATTTTTACAGCTAGCTATTTCATTTTTTACTCCTATTTGCACTTACACTTTTGCTGTGAAGTTTTGGGAAAGAAGTACTTGGGGAAATGAACTTTGAAGAACAATTTGCTTCTGGAAATGACAAAGTAAGGCTAGTCTGATAATAAGAGAAAAAAAAAATACTCATTTAGTTTTCCATAATACTGCACTACTACTTATCACAAAAACACTTTTTGGCTTATTTCCCACCTTGCTAACATTTTGTACTGAAAATCCTTCTGAGGCCTCCACAGATAGGGTGTTATTATCTACACTTTCTTCTTTGTTTCTTGCTCTGATGAGTTCTCCATAAACTGTGGGCAGGTCTGAAAAATAACTTCTTCAGATCAAATTTTACTTGTTGTTATTATTTTTTATTTACAATTTAGGTTCTCATTTAAAATCACCTCCTGCAAAAACCCTATTTAGGCAAGGTACCCTCTAGTTAACTGTCTTTGGTTATTTTTATAAAGTTTGGCGTTTTACATAATTTTGAGACAGATGAAGTTTAATCCAACCAATTGAACATTGGGTATCTATGTTATGTATCCCAATAACCTCCTAGTGATCCAGAGTAAAGTTAGGGGACATTCTAGATAGGGAACCAGTTAGAGACTGAAACTTATTCGAGAGGAGGGCTTCTATCAAAAACCAATTAAGAGTCGATGATGTATATCAAATGCTGTCTTTTTCATCTGAATCATCCATGGATATCATAATTAGCAAACATTTATCTGAAGAAAGGGGTGTTAGTCTCCAAAGAAGCTGTAGTGGAGCATCAGTGGGGGTATTACAGGATAATTTGGTTTTATCAACTGAGTTGATAGTGTAAGTTGGCCCTATTTCATAACTTTCTGACCAAGGGCTAACACTCACAACCCCAGCTTTAGAAACATTTTACAGTGGGCAAGTTATATCATCAACTCGGTCGATAAAACCAAAACATTTATTTGGTTAAAACCTAAGATTTATGTTGGAAAACTGACAAAAGCTATCAAAAACTCTAAATTTAGTTGTTGTATTTGAATTCTTTTAACTAGGTAGTGTTGCAGTTGAAATACAGCTGTATTTGATAGGGGGAATACGTACAAGGTGCTCAACGATATCGATTACGGGGGGGAGGTAATTTAAGGGTATAGTTTAATAGAAAGGAAAGGTTATTAGAGAATGCGTATAAAGTATTAAGGGAAATTGAAATTTTTGGTAACATTCTTACATTCACAGTTACAGAACGTAAAATTAGAACGTACTGATTCGAGTGCAAGAAATCCAAGCCTTTCCACAGGGGTTCCTACAAAAATAAGAAGGGAAGATTATATTTTAGTGTCGCCTTATCGTGTTAATAGAACACAACCCAAATACAAGCAGGCATACAAGAAGTCAAGCAACGTTCCACCATCGCGCATATATCGACATACCTGAGAGCTTCCTTCCAATCCCACTGTATGTTCAGACGGGGTATCTCAAAGATGTTGATTTCTCCCTCCATGAGCCATACATATAGAAACTATTTAAGAGTCGGCCCTGAAAACGAGAAAAAAAATTATTACACATCTAACATGGACAGGAACCTTTCCGCAGAGCGTTTACCTGATAAAGATAACACTTTCAATGTAATTTTGACTTACCCACTGTCAATCCGCCATCTTCAATATTTAGCTGAGGATAGACTGGAAGCTAATCCACTAAAGTTATGAAATAGTAAGTAGGTCCGCATAACGTGAGTACGGTTGTCGTTTGTCAAGAGAGATAATAAAAGGGCTAACTAACGAAGGAAGCTGTCTTTTTCAGAAAGGGTAGGGGGTAGGGGGTTGAGCAGGAGAGAGATCTAGAGGAGGGTCATTATTTTTATCCCACTTAAAGGAAGAGTCGCCATAATTTTGACACAACACAAAGGAATCACTTCATTTACACAGGTTAATAGGAAGTGTGATCTCTGAGCTCATGACAAGTGGTGATCTAAATAAGCACTTTGCCACTGTAGCGTGAAAATGACGCGGTTGGCTGAGAAAAGAGAGACTTATGGAGGATCAGCTGGTTTGTAAAAGCCTTACCCCCACTATACGGTGCCTCATAGAGAACGGTCGGACGATGATGAGGTTGTTCTATCAGAAAGGATACTTTTTTCCACGATGTTGCCTTAAACGCACAAGGGTGACTCGTGGCTGAGCTGATGGATTTCGATTCGTGCCGCTTCGATAGCCATTCCCAGTTTCTGATAGAGCTTTCTTACATCCTTCATACTCGTGACCCAGTTGAAATTGATTCGTGTTGTCTCACTGATTGGTAATCTTTAGATCTTTGGTTTCCCTTTCGTAACCGAGGTGCAATACTCATGATTTAATAAAGATAACATATAAAGAAGTCTTAAAAGAATAATAAAAAAAGAATCATATGATTGCCTAAAAAAGAAAAAGAAAAAGAAAAAGAAATTATTTGATCTCTTAATTTTGGGTTGGTAACGGGGTCGTAACGGTATTGCACTTCCTCAAAAGAAGCGAAATTCAAACTAAAAGTCACGCTAATGCATAATTAATCATCAAATGTCGGCTTCTGTAACCAAGTACTGTAATCAACTTTGGGTTAATCTGCAATATCAGTTACTAAAAATATCAGTCTTTTTTGTTTCACTCCTAATTTACAGACGTGTCCCAAAATCTACGATTCGAGAACTTGATAAAACTTTAGACATAATTTCAATAAGACCTCCAATGCAGTTTATCATACTTTAGTCAAATTATCTCTTAAAATCTATCATTTTCAAGGTTAGGGAACTATGCAAAACTTTGGTCAGCATTGTAATCCAATAACTCTTACGTCACTGATCAGTGTGGTTTTAATCACGTTTTCCCCAAGGATTCATAGGAATGTGATGTAAATTAGCCCAGCAACCAATGAGAGCGTGAAGTCCTTTGTAACTACGAACACTTTCTTGAGGGCAACCCGTACGTGAATCGTGAGAGCGCACATTAGGTAGAAGTAGATTATAAATGCTTCTTGAGAAAACGGGAAAAAGTTCATCAACCCCAGGTAAATTCTCACTCAAACTTGGATTGTTTCTAAGACTTAAATTCTTCTGATTTTCGATTCAGTTATCGTGCGATACAGTATTTTTTGACGTACAATGTTTAGATGTTATCGAACGTTGCAGATGTAATCCTTGTAAACTAATCAACCTCCATAAAAATATAATTTAAGCACTGATTAAGCTATGGTAGGTGGTCAGAAAGAGTCTTAAAAAATTGTTTTGGATTGACAGATCACGAACCACTTGATTTGATCCTGAAGCAACAAGTAGTAAGAGACTCTTTGTCAGATGTGCTTTCTGTGACCCGGTACACCTGCCAATCATAAAGAACGCATTACAAAAAACATTTCTACAGAAGTTCCAAACATGTGTTTCTTCTTTAACAGGGTCTCACCTGGCCTCGTAAATACTCACACTGAGGTCATGCAGTTGAACTGAAAGGTTGTGATGTTGTGTTGATCTTCAAGATGGAAGTGTATCACTATGGGAGTTTGACTGGAGTGTGACAAACGAAGACAATATTGGAAACAAAGAAAGTCAACCGTCTGGTCCCCAATTTGGGGGCCAGATCGGCTTGTTTCCTTCAGCTGCAAATAGCTTTGAGGCCCATGAAGCCACCAAGTACATCGAGAATTGGAGCAAGGATGGAGGCATTCAAGTAATACGGTAAACATTTTGTCAACGTCATTTGCATCCCTACTAATATTTGTTTACATTACGTGTAGACTCTTGGACTAAATCCCCAACTTGATGAAAAAGCGTCTCCAAGTATTTTTTGAAAGCTTTCGTGGGCTTGATTATTTATGGAGCCAGATTGAAACAGGAAGATCGTTATTTTCTCCAATTTCACGCTTTGCACGAACAATATATTTATGGATGTTACAAGCTATCAAATATCATTTTCCCTCGTGTGCTTTTCTATTTTGTTGTTTACTTTTTGATGTGTCCTTTTAGCTCATTATTTCACAACAATTTGCCGCAGAATTGTGGTTTAAATTCTAATAAAGTTCTCTGATGAGTATATCTAAGTAAGTTAATAGGTAAACTTAGGCTAACCCAATACTCCTAGTAATTGTTTACAGAGAAAGGGAAAATTATCAAAACGATACAATTCCTTAATCTTTAAATTCAACATTAAAAAATATCTAAAAGTAGTTTAAATGATTCTCATTTTTAATAGAAATATTTTGCCAAGTCATTGGATATTGAAATTAGAGTTTTGATGTAGAAATTGCACAAGAAGGGATATTTCAGATTGTTTTTTGTTAAAATTCGTTTTAACCTTATTTTAGTAATTTATTTTAACTACACATTCATGTCATACGATTTTTTTTTTTACTTTTTCTGTTAAATGTTTGCATTTCTACCAATTCAGAAAGATTTGATCGAGCATTTTTTTCTTTATTAATTTATTGGTTATTTAAAAAAAGGTAATGACAGATGTTATGTGGTGATTGAGATCTGTGCATTTTATTTATGATTTCATTTAAATTATTGTTCTTGGTATTTTGAAGTTATCATTACTGTGGATTCTTGTAAGCACAATTACAGTTTGTGCCATGACTTCAAGAAATAATTAGCACAATTCGAATCAGGCAGTCTGGGTAGTCTACAGCCATTTTTTTCAGTTTTTTTATGTTTAATGTACAAAACAGCTATTGTAGGATTAACAAATATGTGTGAATGATATGAATCTTTGGAGTGGTTTATTTTTAAAAGAAAAAAGTATTATTTATTCAGTTAAATTCCCACTGACATGCAGCTGGCTGTGATAATACATACTGTTTTACAGTGTAGTGGATCATCTATTTCAAACTGATCCTTTTCTTGTGCCTATTTCATGTTGGCAATGTCTGTTCATTCTCGAAGGTTTTCCTCAAAGCTAGTTTGCTTCTGTCATTCTATTCAATTTACGTACAGTTGTATTTAAAAGCTATTATGAAGAGGGAGATTTGATTTGGAAATATACTGAAACAATTCGAATCACTGTTTTAGTTTAAATTTGATTCAACAAATAGATGATTGGCAGCAGGATGTTAAAGGAAACAATATCTTTTTGTGACCTTGTATCTCATGATTTATTTATAAATGGGTCAAATTTGAATTTCAGTATTGGGCTCTCAACCATTCACTGCTAACTGAGCTAAAATTGTTATTTTAACGACGTTTCGTCACACTGCTGTCTAAGAAGTTTAGAGAATTTGTTAAAGAGACAAGACTATGTTACTTCGTGATTAAGAAATATTGTTTTTGATCTTCTCACCTGTTTTTGTGATGATGATTATTTAATTGCATTCTGGATGAAATTAGACAGAGTTCACAAATCTTGGAATGAAATTAAGGGTTGATGTGCAGGTACTGTTCATCTACATTCATCTACATCTGCATGGGTATTAATTTATTTGTTAACCTTTTTTACTTTAAATGTACACTGAGACAAGATGCAAAAGGATCATAATATAACAGTTATATAGTTTATGTTCTTGCAAGATCAATTTTCCCACAAGGGCATGCATTAGTTCCTTTCTTTTATAACAAATAATTTGAACATGATCACAAAGAGTGATAAAAATAGATAAAATTTTTGTGCATTTGCCAAATTAAAAAGTTCTTGTTTGTGAAACAACTTAGCAGTGTGATCCTAACAATGTGACCCAAGAGTATATGGAAACACTTTCCACAACAAAGGCAGCAATATTTGACCTCCAGGACAGAGGTATATATCAGCGATAAGATTAAATCATGATTCTAATAGCCAAAAAATTTCATTAACTTTATTCTCTGTATCATTTATTGGGTCGAGAAACTGATCATTACACCCTGTAACATCAGTGCAGGGAAGGATTAAACTACGTAATACTATATTAATCTTTATAACTATATTGCAACAAAAGTGAAGCTTTCATGATGCTTAAGCTTACATAAGCAGCTTTAAGACTCATCTGTCAGAAACGGTTAATTTGTATGGTAATTTTAATTTGCATGACTTATTTCCTACCAACTGCAAGATTTTTAAAAAGTGCAATTATTATATATTTTTTAATCAATTCTCACCAGATAAGATGTTGCATTTTGTTTTGGATATCTATTTTAACAGGGATGCTTAATCTAGTTACTGTAATAATTTCTTGTCTTTACAATAGGTTGATCAACAGTTTTTGCCAAATAGTAACTTAAACTACACAGTAAATCAATTAAACAGCTTATTTTAACAGAAAATGACTATACCTGGGGGAATTAAAGATTTTGCTGAGTACTCTAAAGGGATGAAAAGATTGTTACACTTGCAAACTCAATTGTATTGGAGGTAGGGATTGAAAGACTAAACTAAACCTTTTGTCAAGCTGATTTTTAGTTGAAAATTTAAAATGAAGTCACTATACAAATGTAAAAGCATTGATTTATTGTGATATTTAACAATTATTCCATGAGCACGCATTGGATATGAGATGAGATAGCCAACGAGGTACGTAGCGCCGAGTTGGCTATAATCATTTCATATCCAACACGCGCGAGTGGAATAATTGTTTTATTAAAAAAAACCCCCAAGATATTAGACAAATCTTCTCGACTTTATTTCGTGAGAAGAAGCTGGATGTTACAAGGTATAGGTGTCAGATTATGGTATATTGGTTCATATACTATAATGGCTAAGCCAATAAAAAGTCTTGAATGGCATTATCCAATGATCCAGTTTATAATAAATTAGAATTATATGTGGGAAAAGTACATTTTTTGGGACGTATACAAAATATGGACCAGGGTCCATGCATGGATCACCCCTATGGACCCTATCCATTGACCACCCCTATGGACTGCCCCAAGTTAAAATAAATTTTCTCATGTTTAGATTTTAAATACGAATAAAACTTTTACAACTATTTATTCATGCTTACAGATGCTGTTTTATGTAATTGCCTAATAACGATTTCAGGTCTGAAGGAATGTTAAAGGGATATAAATGAATGATCAATATAACTTTCCTCGACACCCAAACACACACAAACTGAAAACTCGAAGGACTGGAACATTTTTGTTCACAAGTATCGACAATAGCAGTTATGAGCCATAACAAAACAACCAACCTTTTCCTTCCTTGTGTTTGATTTTTACACTAAATATTAAAATAAATAAATAAGTAAAAGGACTTCCTTTTATGCAGGGTAGTACAACAAAGTCTTGCAACTGTACATAGCTCGCAATACAGGTGTACTTTGTGGGTACGAGCAATAAATACTCACCTGACCTTTGGATCGTTTCAAGGCGGTTGCCATTGGGAATGAGGGAGTGCGAAGGGGCTGGAGCAAGTTTATGTTATCCAGCAACCTACCCCCTCCAAGGTTACACTTCGTTTAATACGGAAACTAAATGATTCTGTGCTCTCTAATTAAAATCACAAGCTATCCATTAAACTTTTCCATCAATATTCCTTGATTACAAATTTGTGTTCGTAGGGTAAACTTCGCTTATAAAATAAATCGGCTTATTTTTATGCATGATAGAGTATGATAAGCGGGGTAGGGGTGTCTTCCAGATTGATTTGCAATTTGGAAGTGTTGGAATGAAAACGTTGGGGGTAGAAGTGCACTTGATCTTCTGTATCTCAAAATGAGTTTATGGTCTTCCCATTTATGGGGGCGCAATAAATATGAGTCCATGTTTTTCATACCCTGACCTCCGGTAAATTTTCATATTAACAGGGGCGATCTCCTTTTCAAAAATTAGGGGTGGTCCATGGACCCCTATCCATGTTTTGTATATGTCCCATTTTTTGAGATGTTCAAAATTTTGTAGTTTTTTTCCTACTCTATTAAATGCTATCACTAACAATGATTATGGTTATAACTACTGGGGAGTTGTCAAATGATATCATTTAGTAGAATCATTTGCCACCCATTTATGCAGAGACAGGTACTTTGTTGTTTTGGTAACTAAAGTCAGTGGCCATGTTTGGACTGACTATGTTACACTTGTTTTGTACAGTTCTCTTGCAGAGGTTAATACCTTGTCTTCAGATGATGGTCCTTTGAGATGGGTCCCTGTGATAGAAAGTGTCATACCAATTACAATTCACAGAAAGAAGGTAAAAAGGATGACTGTATGTGGCTATTTACATGGTAAAGAAGGACACTTTGGCAGTGCGTCAAATTTTAGAATCACCATAGCCTCCTTGTAGTTTGGGACTTAGTGGAACTTTGTATGATTATCGTGTAATGTATTTTACCTTGTGAATTTTCATTGAAGATGTTTATTGGATTTTGCATCAGTCAAAAGGGCTTTTTTCACTTGCTTGCTTATATTGATATGAATTACATGCTTATTATAATAATGTTTACTTGTATGGGTGTTTGTCTTACATGTGTTGAGTAGAAGTGGTTTTGTTTTGTAGGTGGAAACAGGAGATGTGTTCCTGGTCACAGCATTGATGAACAATGAGACTGTCTTTAGTGCAGAAATAAACTTAAATGGTAAGTACGATTGTTTAATTCTGGATCAATAGAAAAAAAGTGGTAAATTTTATAGGGAAGGGACTTCCTTTTTTAATGTACAAGTAAAAAAAATCATCTCTAATTGTGAAAGTAACTGTAATCTAATTGGTAGCAGAGACAAATTTTTAGATGTGGCCCAAAATGGTACCTCAGACATTTACATCTGTTTGCCTGACAGTGCTTTTTCCATGAATTCTTTAAAGCTCAGGCAGACTTCATGAGAGTTCAAGATGAGGTGTTGTGTATAAAGGTCTTACAATTATCGTTAAGAGTGAAGCTATCTTTACCAGCCCTTTACCCTAGGCCTCTTCCTTTTGTTACTTTTTCCTTGACAACATTGCATATAGGAATTTTATTATGAGAGAAACCCAGGAGATTCAAAGTGTTTGCATAGTTAATATTAATATGCTTTCAAAATTTGTTCAGAAATTCGGCTTAAGAAGACATCTGAGTGTTTTGTTCAGTGGAGGAATCGTAAATCAAGTAAGTATTTTAAAATTATTAGCAGTTTGAAAACTGCCTTTTCAATAAGAGTGGCACCTTTCAATTGATGTTGTTTATGTAAAAATAATGATAAACTTGAGAATTTTGATAATAAATTGAAATGTACTTTCCTCTTAGAAAAACCATGTAAAAGACTGTACCATGATGTGTTATGATTACAGACCTCTTTTACTTTGTAAAATCAATCATGTTCTAATCTAGAAATGCCTTTTTTTTCATTTTACTCAATTCACAGAGAGCCATGCATGGGGACTGAACTTTGTATCAGAAGAAGAAGCTCAGAAGTTCTTAGATTTTTGCAGTGTATGTCTCATTGTTCAGAATATTTGTATAAGAGAGCATGATGAACAATGCCAATAGTTCATGTTAAATATTTCACCTTTCTATAAATATTCTTTTTATTACATTGAACATATTAAAATCAATTAGATGTAAGTAGTTGTACAGTAGATGCAAAAACCAGTGTCATTATTATTTATTGGATTTACTGTAAGAATATAGACACACCTCTTTTTGAACAATGTTTTGTGTTGCTAATAGCCTGGAGGGGTGCGTTCCACATCAACCACATCATCATCAAATCCTTCACTAACCAATCAGCCAAAATCAAGTGGACCGATCAAGGTATCTTCTAGTTTCTTTTGGTTTTGTGATCATGTTTTTTCCCTATAGTTTTTTTCAGTCACAGTCAAAACCACGATCCACATTAATTCCTATCAAACTGTTCAAACAGTTCCAATGCAAAGAAAAGGTAGCTAAAAAATCATTTTCATGCTGTCACTGTCAGAAGGTACCACTTCAGTGTTTGATCCCTTTTGTGAAGCAGCTGAAGAGATGAATTAACAATCAGATTTTAAAAAGCCATCAATGAAAGTAGCAATCAAAGTCCTCTGGAATTGTTCATACTTTGTCATGAGGGCAAATGTAGCTGTAAAGGAGAACTGGTTATTGTATGCAGGTTCAGCAGTAATAGCTATTACGTTCTGAGAAAAAATCTCTTTTTGTTTTCTTTACTTGCAGTTACCTTCAAGGAAAGATAGCCAAGGGAGTTCTGATACACCATCAATCCAGGTTAATGACACTGATTTAAACAACAAATCTCCAATCAATGGTACCCTCTGCAATAATGTTGGTGACCACTACCAGTCTAACAGCACCCTTGTAGCCACAGAAACACTTACTACCATCAGTTCCCACACAACTTCACCTATACCCCGTTTACAAAGCAGTGGTGATCCTGATAGTGGATTTGGTGTGGAGGATGTTGGTAGTGATTCACTTGACTCTCGTAATGTGATGCATATTTCACCATCACATGAAAATCATCTTTCTTCACGCTTATCTGTTGCCAGTGACTCAGATTACTCAGTTAGTTCAAGGAGTAACTTATCTGATGTGGATGACTTGGAAATGAGCTACTTTAAGAGTGTTGCTGATTTGAATGCTAATGACAGTCCTGTGGTAAGTGAATGATTCTGAAAATTTGCTATAATTGAAATTTTTTGTACCCAGGGTTACATCTAGATAAAGCTTGAGGACATTAAAAATCATTGAGACATGCAAATCACTCTCCACCACTATATGATGGTACCTCTTCTGGGGGGGGGGGGGGGAGGAACTCAGAGTAGGATGGCTTCATCATTCCTAATTATAAATCATTCCTTCGTCATTCCTAACCGCCTCCTGGTTAGCTCATTTGGTAGAGTGCCAGACTGTTGTGTGGGAGGTCGAGGGTTTGAGTCTTGGCCGGACCAACAGTCAGGGTCTTAAAATAATTGAGAAGAATTTGCTACCTTTCTATAACATCAAGAAATGGTTAGATATTCTAGTCTTCTTGGATAGGGACGAATAAGTGGTGGTCCTGTCTCCTGCAGGGGTTGGGGTAGGAGACATTAATTTCCCATGTGTACACGACATTACTGTGTGATGGATGTCTTCCCCTGGGGTGGGATAGGTGGGAGGGTGGACTAGTATGAATGGTTCCTATGTTTCTTTCTAGTCCTTCCCCACTGCAAAACTTAATGCAGTGAAAATGGACTAAATTAAATTAAATAATCCGTTCATGCTGTGTATGATCTCTTCTTTCTAAGATTGCACTTGACAGTTAAGTCAATTGTGCTGGGTAATCATACATGTACTAGGTTGTTCTTATAGAGAATAGAAATCTCTTTAAAACTTGACTCCATGTTGCAGTTTTATGGACAGTAAAAAACTATTTGATATATGCAATTTAACATATCTTTTGTTTTAAAGATTCAAATTCACTATATCATGCCTACAACATTGTTATGTTTTCCATTTCAAGGATATTCATGCCTCATTTCATGATGAAGGAGACCTTAACAGTAGCTGTGGAACAAACTTGAAACCACAGTCCGGAATTGCTCAGTCACGTCAGGGTGGTGCAACTCGTAAGGCAGGCTGGCTGTCTGTGAAACATGTCCTTGTAAGAGTGAAGACGAACAAAGTTGAGCAGGCATCAGATAGGAAGTGGCGAAAATGTTGGGTGTCACTCAGAAATGGTGCCCTGAATTTTTATTTTTGTAATGAAAAGACTGTGAGTCCTCAAGATTTAGATGAACCAAATTTTTCATTGGAAATTGATGGTTGTGTTGCTCAAGCTGTGCCAGAACATGCCAAGTTAGATCATGTGTTTAGTGTTAGCTCCAGACTTGGGGAAGGATACTTCTTCCAGGTATAGTTTTTCTTGTTATTAAGTGAGCGGCTACTTTTTAATTTAATTTAAAGAATGGAGAAAATCCTATCAGGAACAAAGTAATAACATCACATTAACAATCTAACCTTCTTTGAGTGGTATGAGAGTTAATTATGTGAAAGACTGGACACAAAGGGTTTGGCATGCACATGATGAACCACAGAACAATATTGCCCTACTTCAATAAAGAATCGGAGTTGCTGCACTGACTATGCACTTCCTGGTTCCAATTCAGCTGCAACAGCCTTGTTTGTATTCAGTTATTGTCTTTTAGAAAATTTTTGGTACTAGATATCACATGTTTGTTCTGATGACATGAACCCAAGAGGGAAACCTTGAATCAAACAGTTTTTGTTTGTCAATTTGTCCTAATTAAAGGCATCCAATCAGACCGATCTTGAAAACTGGATTACAGCAATACATTCAATGGCTGCATCAGTGCTGGCAGGAGCAGGACAGAAGGGAAAGCATGAAATGCTTCGTATTCTTACAACAGAGATCAATAGAGTTGAAAAGAAAATATCTTCAGATTCCAAACTTAAGAAAATGGCAGAGTTACAGTCCACTGTTGTTACTGATTCCAAGAACAAACAAGCCTTTCTTGATCAGGTAAACTGCACAAAGTTACATGTGATACTGCCAAGTGAAGTTGTAATAAATGTAAAGTGTACCAAGGTATTTTTAATGTACAGGTGACTGTACAGAATTCATGGTGCAACTGTTATTTAGACCTACTGCCGTCAGTAACTTCAGCACCAAACTTTATTTCTGGATCTTTGAAAATGTGTTTGCTAAGAAATATTGGAAAAGTGTTTCTGGAGTGTTCAGAGTAAACTTGAGGTAACATGTCAGTGACTTTTCAGTGTGTAGCACTTCAGCCTGAAATTATGTATTAATCTAACACAAAAAAGAGGATTTTTCCTTTTAAACCTCTGTAATGATATTTCTGAATTTTGTCTACAGATATCAAAGTGGGATAAAAACTTAGAGCAGCTCAACATTGATTTCTATCGACTTCATTGCTACACAGCAGCCATCCAGGGCAGCCAATTACCCAATCCTCAGACACTTCTAGCTTGTGTTTCAAGAAACACTAAACAGATCCTTTCAAGACTAAACATCTTTTCAGTTATGTCATTCCATGCTGTTGTGAGTGCAAGAGACCCCAGCACCGATGCAGAAGTAAAGACAAGAAACAAAGCAAAGAGATCAGCTAGCTCTGTAGGCAGGCTGAAAAGTGCTTTGCTTACATCACTGAGAATCAATGATGCAGCAAGTGTAAAGTCGATCAGAGACCGTTACTCTGGAAAAGGTTCTGGAACACCAAGTTTAAAACGGTAAGAGTGACCTGCACTCTTTTTTCCTTTTAATTGTATGTTATTATTAACTCCTTTTTTTCTCCTTAGACAATTGCAACCAAACTTAGATAGCATAGATGATATGCCAGAGGAGGAAGGTGCCTTGGTAGAGAGCAGCTCTCTATCATCAAGTCACTCAGACTGGAAAAACCTTGGAAACTTCCTTCGCATCAGTTTGGATAACAATCAAAGCACTGTAATACCTTTACACAATGAAATGACTATACTGGAGGTGGTTGAAAATACTTGTAGCAAACGTCAATTGAACCCAGAGGCCTATTACCTTAAACTTGGATTAGAAGATGATTCAGGTGTAACAGGTAAAAGGAACAAAACTGATTCTTTGAAAATATTATTAATTAATGCCAGCTTTTGCCCTGAATTAAGAATTTTTCCAAATCTAATGTAGAGAAAATTAGGCTTAGTCAAAGGATACTTAAAGCAGTCAAGTGAACACATTGATGTAAATAATTTAGTCTTGTGAAGGTGTAGTCTGATCATCCGGGTGAGTGTAGTCCTGAGAAGGACTGTTGTCGGTGGTAGTGACTGACGTTTCGACAACCTGTGCGGAAGTCATCATCAGAGTCAAGTGAATGATTGTTGTCAGTAGAAACTACTGACAACAATCATTCACTTGACTCAATGATGACATCAATCATTTACTTGACTCTGATGATGACTTCCGCACAGGTTGTCGAAATGTCAGTCACTACCACCGACAACAGTCCTTCTCAGGACTAGACTCACCCGGACGATCAGACTACACCTTCACATGTTACCCCCGGGTTCAAGACATTTACTAATTTAGTCTTGTTTACCCCAATTAACAAAAGCATGCAAAAGAAGGATATATATATATATGTATACATGCTGAATGCAAATAGTATTAATAACAGTTTAATGTACTTGCAAGGTCGAATCATACCAATGATTTTTTGTAAAATCTCTTGATAAATTAACACAGTCTATACTATGATCATCTTTGTTTAGTTTAGTCAGTTTTACTTTACGTTGATTTATGAAAATAAATTGTTTTTAACCTTTTTGTTGTAGGCTACACCACTCCGCTCCAGGATTCTTTGCTAGAGAGTCATGTAAGTAAAGCCTAGAGATACTTATTATCTCATGATGGTCAAAATGATTTTACCTTTGAATTAAAATGGCTGCCCAGAATCTTTACTCTTGACTTTTTGATTTTCTGCCAACAGAACTATAACTGTCTAAAGTTATGTGAGAAGTGCACTTTCACTATAGAATTGGAGCGTTCGATGGAGATTGACAGGCTTGATTTTGGTAGGTGGCATCAATGTGTCAGTAAAGGCTTATTCATGTTTTATTTTTCAAATGTTTCATGAATTATTTTGGTGCACAGGAAATAGTGTATGTTGTTTTGGTTTTAATGAATCTATTGAGTATTTGTGCATCATTATGTTACTTTGTGGGGCACAAGTGCTTAATATTGAGTTGAATGTTACATGTATTTTGTTGTTACGAATTTCCACTTCAAAGTAAGGAATTTATGGTCAGAACATATTTCACAAAAATTATCAGATTTAGACTGTACCTGCTTTTACGTATAGTATTTTTTTAAGGCAGTGGAATTCAGTGTTCTTAATTCCTTTACTATGGTTGTAAAAATATTTAATAAAACATTTTCAGGTATATCAGTGGAGAGTAAAGATGAAGGCATTGTGGTTAGCTCAGTTGAGGAAGGGAGATTAGCACATGTTCAAGGTAAGCAAAAAACTACAACATAGAAAGCACTCAAGAAGGGTTACTATTTCGGAGAGTACTTAACATCCTTATATGTGGAGATAATGAACGGAGGGTTTCTTGCTTCTCAACTGGAATTTCTGTTTTTAATTAGTCTTAATCAAATTTTGCTCATCTGTTTTTACTCAGGTCTTTTAGGGACATTAAATAAGTATAAGTGTTACTCATAGGTAAATAGTTAATGTACTGGTAAATTCTTATTAAGAACTTGTAGACTGACCAAGAGCAATTTTTATGTCAGGTATTAGGACTGGAGATGAAATTCTTGCTGTAAATGATATTAAAATAGAAGAAGTGGAAAATGCAGTGGAAGATCTCAGAGAAGCACTAAAGGGTATTTATTAATGTTTTATTGTTATTCTTTGAACTTTGATAGCTATACTATATATGTAAACTGCAAATAGGATTATGTGGGTTTTTGTTTATTTCTAGACCCATCCATTACCTTATTGCTGCGCTCATGCCGTGATGAACCACCAGTAGCAAATAAGGTTACATCTGATGCCATTATCACCAGTCTTGTTGTCCAGCCGCCTCCTAAGATAAGGTAACAACCGAGCATTTAGCAACAAAAAGAAAAAGAAGATTGCAGTGTTTTGCAAACGGACAGATGAAAACTCTAGGACAATTTGATGAGAAAAGGGCTAATGATGAAGTTTAGGTTGTCATATCATTGCATTGTTTAATCCACATAGTGTGGTGTTTGTTACAAGTAAGTTGGGCTCAAATTTGGAATTTAACAGTGATATTTTGGGGGCTACTTTTCCACCGGTTGTACTCTGTTTGGATGTTGGTTAATGTAAATTGAATGTGAAATGCGACAAATGTTGCTGAAGAAAATCAATTAAAACGAACTTTCATATTGTTTAATTAGGGTTATGGAAATACGAACATTTAATCACTGTAGATGTTTGAGCCGCAGTAATTTTGATCATTTGCCCTAGTCACGTTTGAAAGCAAAAGCTTGATTCACTTTTCTTTTCTTTCAGTGATACAATTCCTGAGCAAGATCTAAGTGACCTGATTGTTCCTCCGCCTCAATGTGAGTGTTTCTCCCAGGGCTTTTCTTTATAAATTGAAGCAAAAGCATATATGCTTCTAACTAAAGTTTTTGAGTGTGTATGTGCCTCACCAAAGGTGTCCTTAGAATGTCCAATGTGATAAGGAAGGAATGAGAAAAGCGGGAAGGAAATACGTTACGGATTAGATGTCTTGAGAAATGCAGCCGACAACACCAATTTAAGCGAAGTAGTTACCTTCAGGACCAATTTTAAAGTAATTTGGTGTTGTTATTTATTTGTTATTGACGTAGCTTACGACGAAGACTCTACAGTGGATACAGAAAGTGTTATCACAAGCTGTACCGGAGAACTGAGTAGTCCTTCGTCATTACCACCCGGCAAGAGTGTGGACGAACTTCTTCAGGTACCTCCTTTGTCCAGCTTTAATAATAAGAGATACTCGTCATGTCGAACCGTCTGCCAGACTAAACTGCCTTAGATTTTAAAATCGTGTAGAATTCATGTTCTCGAGTTTATGTTGTTATTTGGTAAGCGTGTCGCCTTTCAAATTAATTAGTTAAAGCGTACCTGTTGCCCTCAACTTTCTGTTAGCGAACATTACATTTGCCTTCATTTGTGGGTTATGTCGTTATTTTGTTATGATGAATGTTATGTCCAAAAGTCGAGAATTAACCCTTTATCTTTTTTGTTCACACGCAGCACGCTGAACAAGTAACGCTGTTCTGCAGGCGGCAGGTGGAATACTCAGATGACGAAGAACCCAAGCCGAGTGTCCGTCTCAGCCAAGCACAAAAGCTGCGGAAAGTTATCATTGAACTCGTGGATACAGAAAGGTCTTACGTGAAGGTAAACGTGAACGGCATCCTCAGATTTTCTTTGCAAGAAAAGCAAACTTCTAAATCAGCAAACCGAAAACAAAGGTGCGGCGCAGACAGCGTGGTTTTCCCGCCAAAAACCCGGTTTTCCAAGAACTCACGCCACCATCATTTTTAGCAACCTAGCCGCATACCTGTGACGTTGAAAAGTCTCTTTTTTTCCAAGAATTCTTGACTGCAGTAATTTTTTTTTTTTGCGATGATTAGAGCAATAGCTGTTGTTTTCCGCGTTGTGGTTTTGCGTTTGCGTACAGATTGCTGAGTTATTCTTTATGTTGGTTTCCGTAGTCATGGTCGAATACAGTTCAGCTCATTAGAAGACAAATTGCGAACAGATAGTCACTCTTTTGAGTCTCAGAGCACGGTCAATGTAGTAATTCCAGGAATAACTCTAACTTTGGGGAAACAATATGGCATCCGGAACGTACTTTTCCTTTATTGTCACTGATAGAAAAGTTTTGGCATTAGTGTACTGCATTTCCTCTTCAAAATCAAAATTTTAAAATCTGTATGAGTGACCCCGCTTATAATGATGTTTGATTTTAGGATCTGAGACTTCTGCTAAAACGTTATCTTGATCCCATGAAAGATGAGAACTTCATGTCACAATCAGAGGTAAGGTTGTGCTACAATTATCTTGTGGAAATCGTTTACGGTCTCCAGTTTAAATCACGTCTTTTATGGACATTTCTTTCACTGACGATTTTTCCTTCACTGTCTCCCTCAATCAAGGTTCAAGCATTAGTATCAACTGTTCACAATATCTTAGAGTTTCAAGTGGAATTCCTCAAGCAAATTGAAAGGCCGATGGAAACGGAGACTGGATTTGAAGAGTTCAGTACCGTTGAACAGTTTCAGGTATCCGTTGGGAATCTTCTTTTTAATTGTGAGGCTATAGGCATGGAAGGGCACTTTTCGATTGAGGGTGAAAAAAAATGATACCAGCACAAGAACATTGTGGGGCAGTTCATTCTTCATCGAAGGCCAAACATGAGCTCGTATGAAATAATTTTTCACAGTCTTATTATCGGAAACATCATGAACAAAACCAGAGTCTAAATACTCACGGTTTTTGTCCATTTTTAAACGGTTTATTAGTCATATGGCCAAGTCCTTCATCCTCGTTTTCACTCTCGTCCGACGTATTATCGTTGATAACATGACTAGTGTTAGATGTCAGTGATTCCAGAGCATAAAAGTAGACATGGCCGTAGTTAAACTGAGCCGAAATGTCATAACTTGGCCAGTTTTTCCACCCAGATGTATGTATATCGGGGACTTGACTCGACTTAATGGAGTTTGTTTTATTAGTTTTGTGATCCTTTGATTGCTGCTTGATATCTATCCATTTTCCACCATCTATACTGGGATCAAGAACATGATGATTTCTTGAATTCACGTAATCACGAACACGTGCAATCAACTCATCCTTCTTTCCAGAAACTTTTCAACCTCTACACTTTAGCCAGCGCTTTAATTGTTCGACAGAATAATTTTCTGGGCTCTTGTGAAACTTTGCACCAGGGACACCGTCATTTTCCGTCAAAATTACAGCATTTTTTAGCGAATTTAAAAACGCGCCCTTCGACATTCCACGGTCATTTCCTCTGTATGTTGACACAAGCTGCGGGGGTCAAATTTTAGTGACGTCATATCTGCTCAGCGCCATTCATGTCATGTGCCTTGGAGCGCAAGGAAAAAGGGAGCTACCGTTTTGTTATTGTATCGGATTGTTTGGAGAGTTGCGCAAAATCTCTCAACCATCGACAATGTATGTTAAAGGAGAACCAATAGCATTCTCGATTATTTCTTCGCGTAATTGCGAAAATTTAACTTCAACAGCCTTTTCCTTTTTGTGTTGTAAGCTGTCGAGGCGATCTAATTGAGAATATACATTTATCAGAACCCTGAACGAGATTCAGATATCTCTTACGTGTCTTATTCATCGTCATTTTACTTTCAGAACGTTATATACACCATTGGAGAGACATTTTTCAACTACACGGAACATTTCAAACTTTACAGTGCGTTTTGTTCAAGTCACTCAAGGGTTGTTGAACTTCTTCAATCAGGTACGCCTTACAACATACGACACACCGTTTTGAATGAGTATTCTGTTCTGGCCCGGTGGTGGGGGCGAGAGAGTACGTGACGTGACCCAACAACGAATGCGATGGTGACTATCTGTTCCGTGGATGAAATGCGCAAAACGTTTCACAGATCCCCCAGTCGATCTGCAATCGTCTCGTTTCCTAGGCATTAGTGATATAGAACGGCTGTATTTGAGATTCCATTCTTCTTTTTTACCTTCTCTTTCATAGAGTGCACGTGTTAATGTGCGACGTTGTTTTCTTTTTTCTTTACAAATTTTCCTCAAGATTTAGAAATAGAAACTAAATTTGGTACTTTTTTTTAAATCGCCTGAAGTGGTCCCAGAAAATATAAAAATGGTTAATTTATTTGTCGCTTGTGGAGGTAGAGACTGTATTTTTATTATTCAGGATCAAACACCGCACTGCATGAGTTCCTTCATGCCCGTAATCCAAAGAACCAGCATTCAGGGACGTTAGAATCTTACCTTATCAAGCCAATTCAGGTGAAAAGAAAAAGTTATCTTTACCTATTTCCTACTTCGTGTTAAGCGGCTAATGAGGTTCATTATAGCTAGAATTCCTTCCCTACCTACTAACCTCTAAATGGGGTGGCATGTAGTTGAGGTTTTGCATACCAAGTATGAAAGTTGCCCCTAAGGTAGTTTTAGCGGAGTTAGGAACTGTTAAAGGAAGAGCTTTCTTTCTTTTCTTTGTTGGTTTGTTGTTGTTGTTGGTTTTTTTTTTTGGTACCACACTCGTGACAAATTCTTAACATCTTTTTTATGTCCGTCGAACGAGCTCAAAATTTACGATCCTTCTTGGTTTTTGTCGAACTCAAAATTTGCCATTGTCGTTGATCTAATAAAACATGTTTTTTTTTGCAGCGCGTATTAAGATACCCTCTATTATTGCGTACAATCTTAAAGCTCCTGGATAGCTCTAGCGAAGAATAGCATTGCCTGTTAGGTAAGGAAACTTTTGCCTTACTTTAACAACCCATGTCATCTTGTATCCATTGATAGAGCTTACTTGTCCAGTTAGAAACAGATAAGGATTTCACGAGATTTTTTTTTTTACATTTTCAGAGGCCGTGACTGCAATCGAAAAAGTTGCTGAGCACATTAACGAGATGCAGAGGATTACAGAGCAATTCTCACCAGTTTTCCATCAACTGATTGAAGAGTTTGGAGTATTCGAGGTAAAATTCAAATCACGGTGACCTGTTGCTTATCGTCAGGAAGGAAAAGAAGAAACAGTATTTGAGATAATGCAGTAGAGGCTTCTGATAAATGATCATGAAAGAATTTTAGTCACCATGGTGGCAAAATTATCTAGGTTCGTTCTTATCGGTTACGTGAGGTGGGCGCGAGAATTCCAAAATGTGTTCGAGCTCAGCAAACTCGAAGCAGGGCAAACAAAAATAAATAGTTTGTTACTGGCTTTAATTTGAAAGTTAAATGGTAGCGTAACATTTAACTTTAAAATGTCAAACCTCTTTAGCAATGGAAACCTTCTATTACGAACAGTTTTCTATATTCCGTCAGAATTGTGATGTATTTTCTTTTTAAAGAAACTTTACTATGTCCCCTCGAAGTTCGAAATTATTTGTCGGGTTGTTCTCTATAAACTCTCGCTTCTCTAAGCCAATCCCTTTCTTTACGATCTCATTCAAAAATACTTCACCTACATGTTCCCGAATCGTTCATTCGATGATTTTTTTCTCTGGTAGCTTTCTGACGTCAGCATAGATCGGTTGACACATCATGGTAAAGTTCGCTGGCTCAATTGCCCGGATGACGTACTGAAAAGTGGAACGCTAAAAAAGTACCCAGTCTCTCCCAGAATTGGGAAAAAGATGACTCCCGGGACTATGCATCTTTTTGGTAAGATAGGAACAGTAAAATTAGGTCTGTAATGTTTACATGTGTGTTTTACAATAGAGTATTGCTCGCTCTGACTATCGAACTGCTGCTACTGCCGCCGCTCTGTTTCTTCAGAAGATATTTACATTGTTCAACCCTCACTTTTCATAAAAACGATATTTTTAATACATCTATTTGGAACTGAAATTTCGGAATTGTGTTTTATTTTTACAACAGCATTCGAGAAAGTGTTGATTCTTCTTTATGTGGAGCGGAAACAGAAAAAGAAAGAAAAAGACCGGGTGAGTAGAAGATTATTTCTATCCTCTTTGGCATGCATTTCCCAACAATTGGTCGTGTACCAGTTTATTAACAGCAGTTTGTCCTTTTTTACCTCGTGGTGTGACTTCAGTCTTACTGAGAGGTTTTAAGTTACAAATTCACTCACTCACCCACTCACTCACTAACTCCATTCGTTGATTTTTTTTTCAGCCCTCTTCCTTAGGATCAGCGGAAGAAATCAAGTTTAAAACTATTATCCCAGCATCTGCGCTGATAATTCGAGACCACTGTTGGTTAAATGATGGTATGTGTAGTATGATACCTTGACCTGTAACATTCTATGCTTGCCTCCCCAGCGAGGCCACACAGTAATTTTAATTTACGTGGGTAAGAAATAAATTTTTTTCCCTCCTTCGCACGAGGCAAAGTGAGTTTCTAATATTTTCGAGATACGCTTCTCCGTCTAACCCCCAAGAAAGATAAGCATCTAATTTCTCCCCACAGTATCACTCCTGAATCCAACAGTAAGGTTATGAGAATAGAGGAAATGATCGCAAACTCGGGAATCTTTTGATTGTTGGAGAAATTCTCCTTGCAAGTACCATAGGAATTGTATAGAAATCTGTATGGAGAACTTGCGTACGGGATGTAGGGGTGTAAAGGGTTAAAAGAGTGATGGTAATAGAAAATAAAAGTACAAAAAAGGCCAAGGATTTTTTTGGAAAAGTATAACAAGGGCGGATTTCGAGCAGAGATTACTTGCTGCCTTACAGTACAGGAAAGGAAAGTTTTTAAAAATTTGTGACAATCCGTTGATTTTGGCGTTTTCTTGTTTTGGTCTGCATGATTTGGGGTTCCCTTTCAGGTCCAGAGCCAATTCATTCGTGGGAATTAGTAAACATAAGTGATACAGCGGAGATTGGCAGACAAGAATGTACCTACGTATTTGCAAACAAGTAAGGCTGATTCTGGTTCGTTTTATAATTGATATTTTAATTAATTACCCATTGGTTTTAGCGAGGGAAAGGACCTTGTCCTCGTTATATCACAATTAACCTTTTAATTCACTAAATCACGATATCACTTCAGTTTACTTTCTGCCATTTTCAACCAATAAATTAAGCTTTGAGACGTGGTGCGGTTAGATTGTGCACTACTCCGTACTTTGATATTTTTCTTTTCTCTCGTCACTTTCTGGTAGACAATGTGTGATAATGTAAGGAAAACCTCGTTTTCGATTACTTCTTGAACTGAAAAGGTTTATTGATAAAAACACCAATCGATCGATTGTCAAAACGAAAAGTAACCACAACGACCATAAAGAGTTTCTAAAGCTGACGTTTCGAGTGAAATTCACTCGGACAAAGGGGTAACGCTCGAAACGTCAGCTCTACGGCGGACAATTTGTAGTATAAACTCAGTTGATAAAACCAAATTATCTTACGATTTGATTAGGTTTGGCACCGATACGTTGGGAGGCGAGTGCAAGTTTTCTAGACCAATTACGAAGCAAAGTACAGTCAAAAACCAATGTAACGTCGGATTACTTTTGACAGTCGATTAAAAATTCGCTCATGTGCGAGTTGTTGTTTTTTATTACTATTCGGAAGAAATAATAATAAAAATGAAAGGTTTCATGTGGTATTTTTACAGAACTGCAGAAGAAAAGAGGGAGATGGTTAAGTACATCAAAGAAGCTATAAAGAGAAGCATCAAGGTTGGTTATAATTTAGCAACCGCCATTGCGCCAAGGTCGCCAAGCTTCCGACGTAACAACGCCGACGACAAGCTCAATGCATCGGATCCAGGCCCGTTCTTACGTCTTGGCGGTGACCCCTCATCACTTTTCAGCCGATCGTTTAGTCACAATCCCGAAGGTTTTCGAAATCGGAGAACATCGCTCGAGAGCGACGCGACCCACAGTTCGGATGGTTCCGGAGACACCGAATCCGTTAGTAGTGTAGGTACCGCTCGAGACAGAAGGTTCAATTTGAAGAAAAAGAACAAAGTCGTCTCTCCTTTGGGGTTAGAAGATGTTCAAATTAAGTTATAGCACGGCAGTGCAAATGGTTGTTGCAATTTATTGCGCCAAGTTCATACTAAAGATCCAGAGTTTTATTTTCTATACTTCGTCGGAGAAACATTATACAGAATTTACTGTTTAAAAAGAAAAGAATATCGTTGTAAAAAATAGGTCTTTATTTATGGTACTGTCGTTGTCTTTGATTTTACTTTTTACTGTTTTATTTTACAGTTTGAATTGCAGGAATTTGTTTATATTTTATGGTGTTGATTTTGTGTGTTGTTTTGTAAATCTCTATGAAACAAAGTGCACTTGAGTTGTTCCTAGATAATAGGTTACAGTACGTTATCTTATGCAAAAGGTCTATTTATTCAGTGAAGAGAGTGATTACTTTTATTATAAACTGTAGATGTCGCATTCAAATTATTCGACCCTCATCTCAAACGATGGTAAATAATTCAGACAAGTCCACCGGGACATCACGACCAAAGAACACTCAATCTAGCCCCAGGTCTTCCCCTCCTTGGGTTGCTATAGTCAGAACAAAGCGTGAGAAGGTAAAATAAAAACGTGTGTGTTTTTCTTGTCCATATTGAAACATTTATAGGCAATCTGAAAAGGGTACATTTAAAGAAGGAATTTCTACAGAATCAACTGACGCAGCAGATAACGTTGGTACTTCTAACTTTCAGTCATTAGTCACGGTGTTACCTTATCTAGTACCCTGGGGCTACCGTGCAACTGTGACGTAAATGTACAACGGCTTGGCTATGAAAGGTCTGGGTACAAGACTAGGTAGTACCAATTTGTACTTGATCAAACAGTTTAATTTTTCAGCTGCTTTGAAGCCTTACAATGATGTTGTAATGGTTGGTTGTGGAGACAATGAATACTAATCATTGTAAAATACTGAACTTCCAAATATGCAAAATTGAAAGCAGAATTTTATAATATTTGGAAACAGTTGAGAGTGAAAGGATGATTTGATTTACTGTTCTTTTTCTCCCATTATATCAAAGGCGTGGTCATGTATACTTAAATGGTACCTCACAAAAAACATACCTGTTATTATTATGTTTTTTTTTTTCGTTTTGTTTTGTTTTGTTTCTTTCGCTAGACCATATGTTAACGGGATTAATATTAACTAGATTATCTTCCTTTATGCCTCGGCTTCGTTTAGTACTAAACCAACTCGTTAGCAAGGCGTGAGGTCGTTCCAAAATTTGCGCTGTTTGCGGAAACGTTCCTAAGTAGAGGAGGCAGATGTAGACACTTAGTTCTTCTCTCTTTTATCATACTCGAGTCACTAGTGACAAATCGTTTTCTTGGATCTTGCGTTTGAAAACTCTTTCGGTGTGTTCAAATTACTCTTAATAGATTTGTCAGTGGGGTGTCTGTAGGGATACAACATCAAAATCTGTAATCCAATAAAATATATGTTCATAATTAAACTGAGTCTGTGGTTGTACTGTTGAAGGGATGCTCGAGGAAAGTGCTAGTGAACGGCAGTGACCATTGGGTGGTAGTCGTAGGTGTTAGCCTAGCAGCCAATTGATAGTTACTAGCTTGAAGAGTTTTCGAGACCACCAGAAGAGCTTAGATAAACCGATACCATTCCAATCCTTTCCCACTGCCACACCTAATCAACATTTGCGCCGTGGAGAAGCGTTATTGCTGCCTGTATCTCGTCGAGGTCAATAGGCGGGTGACTTGTGACTTTTATTCTTTAGTCATAATTAATAATTAGCTTCCATGCTGCCATGTGTCTGATAAGTAATGAATTATAGAGCAAGTCAAAATGTGCGGGTAACATATAAGTGACTCACGAAGCACAGCTGAGTGTGTCACCTACGTTCTTATCACATTATGACGTCTTATGAGATAGATCTGTTACTGAACAGAGGGCAAGTAATTCATGGCAGTCTCCATATAGACTCCCTGTTACCCAGTCTGCATATAGGGCAAGTAATTCATGGCAGTCTCCATATAGACTCCCTGTTACCCATTCTCCCTGTGTACCCTGTGTACCCATGTGTACCCTGTGTACCCATGTGTACCCTGTGTACCCATGTGTACCCTGTGTACCCATGTGTACCCTGTGTACTCTGTGTACCCTGTGTACCCTGTGTACCCATGTGTACCCTGTGTACCCATGTGTACCCTGTGTACCCATGTGTACCCTGTGTACCCATGTGTACCCATGTGTACCCTGTGTACCCATGTATACCCTGTGTACCCATTATACCCTTTGTACCCATGTATATCATGTATTTCCCCCCCGGGCTAATAAAATCATTTATAATTGAAAATGAGGTCAAGGGTAAATCGGAAATGGGCTATTAACCCTTAGTCACGCTTTATTCTGTGGTCACAAAATGCCTTTACACGATCAAGTCCGATCAACCCAAGAGGGTCTCTCAGTAAGGTGAAAACAGTTAAGCAAGCCATCCCCACAATGATAAAATCAATCCTGGTGCAATCTCTTCTCCCCCCTCCCCTCCAAAAAAAAAATAAACACAAGGTTGATTACATTGAAAACTCAATTTTCCAAGGAATACTTCATTTCTTTGTTTAATTGATTTATTGCTGTTTGATAAGTAGCTTACAGTAATTATCATGGTCAGATCACATTCTAAATACCATCAGTTAACATTTTTAATGGCTATCAGGAAGGATGACAGGCTTATTTTGAGAAAATTTTCAGAGGCACTCAAGTTGAGGTACAAAAATAGGTCAGAAGGTCTTGAACCATCTAACCTAGAGTATTCTTTGATGAAAGACATCTAGGAATCCAAGGAAAATCACTTTAGGACCCTGTTGTTTGAAGGATGGATAATACTATCCTCTGGATAAATCTCTATCCAGTGGATAGCACTGTACATTTTGTTCACACTTACCCACTGGATAGCAATTTATCCTTTGGATAGCATTATCTACCCTGCCAGCCACTAATGAGCTACTCATTTTAGCTTGGGGTCTCATTCCAAGTGAAAGAAGTAAACTTAAATCATTGCACAAAAACTACAAAACATATCAGTTGAATGACCCACAAGACTTCTTGTGCTTAATGTTATTAAATAAATATATCTTATTAACCAAGCGTGAGGGCCATACTGGGAGAATATCAGCCTGAGGTCTTGAGTGCAGCGAGATCTGTACAAAAAAGACAGAGGGCCGATATTCTTCCAGTACGGTACCGAGCAAGCTTGGTTAAGAGAGTTATTATACAACTGAAGTTCAAAGGGACACAAGTGGGGTATCATTTGGGACCATTTGGGACAGTGCCCAGTCCAATACTGAGAGAATATTGACTGGCAATAGAGCATTTTGATTGGTTGATTTTAGTTATTGGCCCTCTGACTGCCCGAGTCGTGTAATAACATAAGTTATTCCTGCTGAACTAATCAACACGAGTTGGTGAAGTCTCTATAAATACTGGAATAACTTCATAAATTAATATATATTCTTGTTCATCGCCTCCAACTTATGTTTAATTTGGCACTCTTCACAAATGAAAAATTGTATCTGTACACACACTGATATGGCATTACTTGTAAGTATGTTTTCTGAACAGAAAAACCTTAATGCTAGACTTTGGTTTGCATGTTTCAGGTGACACAGAATGGTCACTTATATTACAATGAATAAAACAAAACTGTTTCTTGACTTCTAACATTAAAGGAGAAAAGGATGACTACACTATATATATTTTAAAATATATAAAGTATGATGCCTTCTTAATATTCTCTACAATTTTCTTTCTGGTCTTCTTGTTTGCACAACTTCTCTTGGCAATACTTTCATTGGGCGGAACTTGCTACCTTCATCAATCACACCATCTTCCTCGTCTCCTTCATCACACAAGTGTACCACAATGCTAGGTGCATCTTCAGAAGACTTGTGCAGCTGACAAGGTTGTGAAGTGTCTAAAGTGGCTACGGCAGCCAGCAGATCATAGTTGATCACTGGGTGAGACTCACGAGTCTGTTCCCAGCCAACCGGAGGTGATGCAGGAGGGGAAATCAAGAACTGTTTTGTTTGAGGTGGTGGTTTAAGATTAGAGTTGTTGTTAAGGGAGGACTGCCTCTGCAAAACAATGAAGAACCAACTTAAAGAAATTGCATTTATATAAAATTATTTCACTACTGGCTTAGTTTGTCATACTTTACTATATTTTATTAATGCCAGAGAAAATAGATCAATATTTTTCCATCCAGTACCTACAGTCTGATTCACAGATGAAATGCATTGATGACATTGTAGTAGAAGAAGCCTGAAAAAATTCAGACTCAACCAGGGTTCAACCTACAATAGCAGGTTGAAGTCAGGATTGTCTTCAGTTTTGATCACCTGTCAGAATCAGTACTTTATTTGTGAGTTCATAAATTATTGTAAGGAAAATTTGCAAGTTCACCAATGTTGATGTGACTAATCAGTTACCTGAACAAGGAAGATGCCAAGTTCATAGCCCAGAAAAAGTTGTCCATGCAGATCTTTCTTGGCTTCTTTTGCATTCTCTTCCTCAGTAAAGGTAACCCTGGCTCTGTGAAAAGTCTTTAAGTAGATGAAGCTTCTGTCACTTTCACTCCCATAAGGTGAGAACAACTTTTCAAAAACTTCCTGCAAAGAAGAAATGCCACGTGCTACTTATAACAATTAAATAGGATCTAACAAATTCTGTAGAATACTAATAACGTTAAGCACAAGTAATGAAAGACTATTTACACAAACTAGAAAACTTGGCATTGTCTTCAAATATCAGATTTTACAAAGGGCACACTCCACTTTCAGCTAGGATCAAAAATAAATCACCATGATTGAAAACTTGTTGTTTTTAAGTAAGAAATTTATGATGTCTCAACAACCTCAATTAAGATAAATGACTGATCGTGGAGTGGCTTGCTGTTTCACTGATGTGCCAAATGAACAAACCATCTGAGCCACAAACAAGTATATTTGCTAACAAAGCCTGATAGTTTCAAAAGAAACTGTTTGGGGCTGCGTTGGTGGGAGTAACGAAATAATTTGGAAATATCAACAAAGTTGAAATGGTAAATTGGCCACCGTAATGATTACAAAAGCTGACGTTTCGAGCGTTAGCCCTTCGTCGGAGCGAATAGAGGAATTGTGGGTTGTGTGTGCTTTTAAAGGCAGAAAATGGAGCTACGTTATTGGTGGGAACATGGCAACGAGAAAAACACGAATAAATTAGTGGAATGAAAAGCGTTCATTGATCCCTGTGGGATTTAGACTGCCGGTTTGAAAGATGAGCTTTTGTTCAAGATTTTTACGGCTTTCCGTGCCACCTAAGTGCAAGGAAAGACCGCAGATTGCCATATGTTGCTTAGAATGATTAGGTAAATTAAAATGTCTAGCGACTGGTTTCGATGTGTCCTTGTCATTCCTTTCCACGTCTCGAAGGTGTTCTCGGAATCGGTCACCTAGTCTTCTGCCTGTTTCGCCAATGTATAT